GGCCGTAGGCGGGCCGTAGGCGGGCCGTAGGCGGGCCGTAGGCGGGCCGTAGGCGGGCCGTAGGCGGGCCGTAGGCGGGCCGTAGGCGGGCCGTATTGGTATGAGGTGCAGAAAGAACACAAGAAAACGATTACCCTCTTGAGAAACTAAGTAGGTGTTGTAATCATTTCAGCTTTATGCCTCATTCTACGAGCGTGCCACAAGGGCCTGTTTCAAAAAGAAGGTCTACGTCTGCTGAGGTTGCACTCTAAAAATCGTTTTGACCTCCTAGCGACTCTGTGGAAAATCTGGGCGCCGCCAGACAACGCTTTCCCGACCCGGTTCGCATTTGAAGTTGGGAACTCAGAGCGGTTGCCAGAGGGACCCCCATCTTGATCCAGTGCTACGCGCTACAGGAGCGTCTAGGAGCGACGGGGCACTCGTCAGGTGAAACCGTATGTCCCCTCCTCTCAACTCCCGCGGAGAATCTGTGCGACAGCAACCGCGTCCTCTACAGGGGCGTTAGTATCGCTACAGCCTATGTCACACTGTTAAATTCCTACAAAGCATTCGCTTTGCAGAGATGCGAAGTATTTTGCTCCTTTGTAACTACGAAGCATTTACTTTGCAATTACAAAGTGGTGCTTTGCAATTTCGAAGCAATGAAAACGCTGCAAAGCATCGCTTTGCAATTGCAAAGTGTCACTTCGTAATTGCAAAGCATCACTTTGTAATTGCGAAGTAAACACGGAAAAAAATATGTAAGTTAAGCCAACTAAATGTTAGCTGCCTTAGCTTTTATGTTTGCTAAAATCGTGACAAGCAAGTTTTTTGGCTACCACAGCGAAACGTTTGCTGTCACAGCGACGTATCAGCTGTGAGAGCTAATGCTTCACCTGCAGGAGCAAATGCAATGTCTGCTTCAGTTGATTGGGGATAATCTACCAGAACGAGCACTAAAGCCAATCCAGATAAGCATCAGCTGCCCTAGCTAATTCTTGCACACAGGAGTCAATTATTAGCTCCGGTAGCTTAAAAGTTGCTTGTCACGATATCAGCAAACATATCAGCTATGCGAACTTACATATTTTTTTCCGTGAATGCTTCGTAGTTACAAAGGAGCAAAATACTTCGCAGGAATTTAACAGTGCACGTTCGACTCATTAGCTTTGAGTTTTTCGGTGTTATTTCTTTGTGGATATTGGGGCCTTACCATGCCCAGATCAAAACCGTTCTAAACGCCAGGTAGCGCTAGCACTCCGATACGAGTTTGTTTTTTTTTTGGAAAAAAAAAAGGGAAGGGTATTTGCGCCTGTGGTGATGCCAGACAGACCACCTGCATTACACGCCTGTATGTCTTTTTGCCTGACAGGCGTTTTCGAAATAATTGGAATTATCACCGCGCTCGCGTCAGCGCTACCCGGCGTTTTTCAGTGTTTTATTCTTAGTACGGGGCACCTCTGATGTCCGCTAAATACGTGACCCGTGCCCGTCGTCCCTAGGCACACCAGCCGAGCGCAGCTGGGGATCAACATGGTGGTCTCTCTCTCGGCCGTTTCGAGTTCCCAACTTCAAATGCGATCTGGCCCAGGAAAGCGTTGTCTGGTGGCGCCCAGTTTTTGCACATTGTCTGTACAAGTTTTATACCACTTTTTGAGGGTGCAACCCCGATTACTATTTTTTCAGGTACAGGCTAACTTCACGGAAAAAAATATGTTATCTATTCCAGCACAACGTTTGCTAGGACAACTAACGTGTTTGCTGTCAGCGTGACAAGCAAGGTGTTCGACCAGTACAACATATGTATT